TAATTGTTCTATATCATCACACTATTATTAATATAAGCAGGGGATTTTGATAAAAAGTAGTAACCACTGAATATGAGTGCATGAATGGGTCAGACCTGTGCAGCACTGGATTTGAAATGAACTGTAATAAACTATTAATATGTAATATATTGCATTTTGAGAGTAACTTGTGCAACACTGCAAATATACACTAACAACATTACATATCTAATATCCTACTTGTATAACTATAACTTGGATAATACAATAGTATAACACATTTGGTATTTAGAATAATTCCCCATTTAGTATGTTTCATTTTTCAAAATGACTTACCCTGTGTTTTAAATGGTCCTCCAGGCTCCCTCTCCCTTCACCATCAATGCAAAATCAGCTGAGCTGTAACATATTATAAACAGGTGTAGTCACAGAATCACAAAGCCTGCATCACAACCGGTCTTTTCTGCTGTAACTCCACTGTGCTGATAGCATGTGCTGCTTTCTTCTAGGAACTACTGAGAGGCTTCACAATCCAACATTGCTGTAAAAAAAAATGATCCACTGGGGTGAACGGAGAGGACTCTCTATTCATGTTTTCTGGACCAGTCGATCACACTACAGACTGATTGGCTGTTGAAACAGGTGACATGCTTTATGTTCTAAAACCAGCTGCTGGCGATTTAACCAGCTGAGTTGCAGGTGACACCATCAGCCGGCTTGAATCAAGCTCAGAACAGCCAGTTCACACTACTGCAACTTTTCTCTACAATGTTCTTAAACGGTTTTGTCTACTTGTGAATCATTGGTCTGAACAGGGCTTTAGACTTTAGTGCAGCATTTCATACAGTCTACCACACTAGTTCAGTGGTGTTCATTATGTCTTTAGTTTCTGATAATGACTTTAGTTGTTCTTTTATCTCAGACATGTTAGGATGTTACATACCTTGACATGTTTCGGCGGAAACTTCCGCCTTCCTCAGAAGTGGTGGTTGTGACGGTCTTTATCAGCTGATCTGTCAATCAGCCAATATTAGGGACCACCAAGGGTCCCTCACTATAGTCTACCACACTATTCTAATAGACAGACTTAAGAAATGGGTTGGTCTCTCTGGCAGTATTTTAGCACGGTTTCAGTCATATTTAACTGACAGACAGATTTCTGTCAGCCTGTGTGCTAATGTATAGCAGGCTCATGGTATTGAATGGTATTCCAACATATTCTCATCCCAAGTCATCAATTATCGCCTTTTTGTAGTGAACTTTCACATCTACATAATATGCACTAGGTATCCTCCTATGTCTGCTGTTGACGTTCTGGGTCAGCTAGCAAATTTATGCTTGTTACAGGCATTGTGTCTTTGGACAAGACACTTTTCACAGGAAATATAGAGTTTCTGCTCATTCGATGCACACCGTCCTATAAAAACACCATATTTACATTTATTTCCTTGTGTAACAACAGCACGTGGTTAAGTCTAGAAAAAAACACCATGGTTTGTCTCAACATTCACGTAGGAAGTTTACCACAGCCTCCCAGTAAAAAGTCTGGGGTCTGATGGATCCATTCACCTTTACCCCCACCTGCCCTATAGAGACTGTCCAGCAATTCATATTGGGTTGCTACTGGCGGTGTTTCAAACTGACGCCGTCTGGTAGTGTTATAAACTGAAAAACCAAGCAGCAACCTCCAAGGATGAAAAATGAAACCAATGCCCAAGAGCCAAAAACTGCAGTTCATTAATTGGCCACTTGAGGTTGGCTCCACAGCAGAGTTAATCTCCATAGACTCCCATGTTAAAATGTTCAACTTTACCCCTGAAATAACAGCCTGGTACAAAAAACAGCTTTGTTCTCTATAGCTAATTTCAACATCAATGACAACTGTGTGGGGGTGAATTTTTGTATAAGTCACCTGTTTCCATTTCATTGTGGCCCAAAGTTTCACATATTTAATGACGGGCAGCCTTGAGTGTCAGGCTGTCTGCAGATAATGTCCTCAGCTTCTCACTCAAATCCACCCCTCACTCCTCCACAGCTCAAGCCTCTCATCAAAATTTGGTCACTTCTGGCTCCAAAGTCCACAAACCAATGGGTGACTTCACGGTATCTTCGTCCATTATTTTTACAGTCTACGGTAAAAACTTTTGAAAGCTTAATGAGAAAAAAAACTGAGATTCATTCAACTGGACCCAAAGCATCAAGAGAAAAACTGCACTCAGTGTTTGGTGGCCTTTGCAAACACATTTAAATTTTAACAAGGTCATTAAAACATCCCTTTTGCATCTTCGGATCATTACTTACGTTAAACCTTTTCTAATCCAGAAAGATGCTCAAAGACTGACTGATGCTTTCGTTACCAGACGTTTAGACTATTGCAATTCCCTTTTCACCTGATGACCCGAAAGAAAACTACAGCGATACCTGCTAGTGTTGAGTAAAAGAAGAGAAATGGATCATATTCCAACTGCAAAAGTCATTACACTGGCTACCTGTATCTTTTAGAATTGATTTTAAAGTTCTTTTCCTTGTTTATAAAGCTTTAAATGACCTCCCCCCTCTGTACATCAGAGATTTTCTTTCATTTTATATTCCAACCAGATCACTCAAGTCCTTCACTGCTTTACTTTTAAATGTCCCTTATGATTCCCATAAAAGTCCTGGTAAGAGTGCTTTCTGTTTTTAGTCCTATCGTCTAATCTGGCTTTTTAATTTAAGTTTTGATTGTTAGTTTTTACCTTAATTTATTTCTGCTGTTTATTCTTATGTTACTTCATTGATTTATTTTCTTTTTATTGATTCATATAATATTTACTTTCACCCTGGAGGCTGGTGTTCGCTCTCGTTATGAATGTCGAGCCACATCATGATGTTTTTTTCCTAAACCTAACTATGTGCTTTTGTTGACATCCTGCTGTTGGTTGTGGCATCCTGGAACATCAACAGCAGACACAGAAGGATACCTAGTGCGTTACTGTATATGTAGACGTCAAAAGGCGACTGACAAAGAAGTGAAATGTGACAACTTTGGAATGAGAACGTGTTGCCTCCCCTTGTGCCACTAGTACAACTTTTTTTTTCACATATACAGTAGAACTTCCTCTACCCTTGAGAGGTATAATGTTTACCATGTTTACTATTTTAGTTAATTATGTCAACATGCTAACATTTGATTATTAGCACTAAACACAAAGTACAGCTAAGGCTGATGGGACATTAGTTTTGCAGGTATTTGGTCAAAAACAACAAACAGCGTGACCTGATGACGGTGCTAGATGAAAAGAGGGGAGCTCAGAGAACAACACAGTAAGGTGAGGTGCTTGCAGAGCCCAAAGGATACTAATAGACAATACCCATCTCAGCCACAGCCTGTTCACCCAGCTGCCATCTGGCAAGCCATACAGTAGTATCTGCTGCAGTACCACTAGATTACAGAGCAGCTTCTCTCCTCAGGCTGCTAGTTTGCAAACTCATCCTCCATACTCCACCATAAAAAAAAGATGTTCTTTTGTTTTGTTGTTTTCCTTCTGTAAGGTAAAAAAGGGACTACAGCTCCATTTCATAGTGCAACCCTGTGTTATATAATGACAAACGAAACTTGAATCTTGAAAAATCAGAGGATCATCAAAGTGATTACGATTCATTTTAGGGTGCTTTCTTATCTAACCTGTTTGGTTCGGTTAAAACGAACTGAGGTCCATTTGTGCGGTTAGTGCAGTTCATTTGGAGTGGTGTGAAAGCCATCAATCGAAACCTGGTGTGGATCAAACATCCGAATCAAGACCACTTGAAAAGGTGGGTCTCAGTCCGCTTCCAAACGGACTCTGGTTTAATCCATTTGTGAAGAAAACTAACAAACTACAGGATTTTATGATAGCAGAGATGTGATTACAGCAGTAGCTAAACCAATAATAAATCCATCTGCTGATTGGTAAATCTGTCCACAATCTCATAATGGTTACATGAAACCATAGTAAAACATATGCATATCAGTGTGGGTATTTTCCCTAATTAAAAAGCTGTTAAAACTGCTATCATTGTATCTGACTGATTACTTTGTCTGTTATTAATGTCTATTAAAGTATGTGACAGTGATAACACAAGACGCCTTCTTTTCATCCTGTCTCTGTGTTAGTCATCATTCATGACATGCTTTTGATATGCAGTCTAATAATAGCCTCCTATTGATGCTTACCATCAGTTATTTGTCTTTGAGCTCTTTGTGAAACCAAAGAACATAAATATAAACACTTTAGAAGCATTTAAGTGCAGAATAAACTTCTGTCAGTCACCTGAATTTGATTTCCCCACGTGGGCCCTGATGATGCAGGATGACACACAACTGTCCAATCACCGAGTTACCTATCAGTCGCTAGAACTTCATGTTTACTCTTCTTGGTTTGTTTGCAACAAACTCAGTGTGAACAGGAACTAAACCAAAACTAAAATGCAACAATGCATCCTTTATTCCTTCTGGAGCGACAAAATGAAACCGACTACAGGTGTGAAGGCACCCTTTAACATCTGCCCCACCTTTCATGGCAATCCATCCAATAGTTGTCGAGTCATTTCAATCAAAACCACAAGTTTTGCCATGCTGGTGGAACCATAGGAAAGTCAGGGGCCATCTCAATGGCCATGCTTGGGGAAGAAGTTGTTAAAGGATCAGCTCATGTGTTGATCATTGGGGTGTCAGCACGTGAGAAGATTTCTCAGCCTACTGTAAATGAAATCAACCAAAAATACACCAAAAGAGGTGATTATTTAGTTTTTCAGACATAAAACATAATTTCTACATTTCTACACAGTCCATTAACTTGAACCTGTACACTGATGAAGCACCACTACACTTTTAAAGTTTAATATACACATTCTGGTAGTTAACATTACTGAGGACAGCATGATTCTTCTGCAAATAATTTTTCTGAATTTTCTGAAGGCACATGTAACATCTGACAGTGTCTAGGTACAGTACTGTACTTAAGCCAATAAAACACATGCAAGCCCATTTTCACTGTGTGGCAAATGACAGTGAGTGCCCCATTTATTGTTTTTCAAACATGTAAACATACAAGACGGTGACTTCAAAACAATCACATACAAGACGTGTCAACCAATAAAATATAAAATATCATATTTATTTTTATATACTGTATACCCAAACAAATAAACATTGCAAGTTTGCAAAAGCCGGAATGCTCAAGAACATCAATATTTTTTAAATATATATTATAGATATATAAGGTAGCTTTCATATACATAGATTCAATATGGACTTATTCACTGTTTGATTCTTCTCTACACAGTCTCTCCTGGCACATTGCACATAACCTCAGGAATCATGTTCATAAGAATTCAGTTTAATTATTGGTCAAGGATGAGCTATCCCCTGCAGCTTAATGTCTTAACCTGGCTTGAAGTCATAGATCAGTGCTTGTAGGCCTGGTTTACACCTGTAAGCATGATTGTGTGTCAACTGCAAGAGTGGTGCATTTAAAACACCAGTATGTGGGAGGTCAACACAGCTTCTGTAATGGTCAACTGATAACCCACAGCCCCACAGCTGCAGCTAAAGATGCTCCAAGTACTGATCACCAATACATATAGGTTACTGTATACTTAGACTCCAGTGTAAAATCAGGAATTTCTCATTTTGGCAAATACCATGGCACAAAAACACAAATTAATATCTGCACTGATCTGGCAGTATTTCAGAATTTCTAGCCAAGACAAGACTCAATGTTTGTTCATTCATTCATTTTCCATAACCGTTTATCCTGTTAGCAGTCACGCAGGAGCTGAAGCCTATCCCAGCTGACAGTGGACGAGAGGCGGGCTACGCCCTGGACAGATTGCCAGACTATCACAGGGTTGACATATAGAGAAAGACAAGCATTCACGCTTACATTCATACTTATGAACAATTTAGAGTCACCAATTAACTTAGCCTGCATGTCTTGGGATTGTGGGCGGAAGCCGGAGTACCTGGAGAAAACTCATGCTGACAAGGGGAGACCATACAAACTTCGCATTGAAGGGCTCCCCCACTCCAGGGTTCGAACCCCCCCACCCTGGGTTCAGACCAGGAACCTTCATAAGAGCTATATCGTAGGCAACTGGACTTGCTCAAGCAAGGCCCTGGTTGCATCTTCACTGACATGCAACCAGGAATCTTCTTGCTGTGAGGCAACAATGCAAGAGACGGTATGGTGGTGCAACAAGACTCAATGTTGTGAACAGAATTTTCTTGTGCTCTGAATACCACCAACCTAGGGAAGATTTTGTATGTTTTGTATAGAGCTTCAAAAGACTATGCAACAAAGTCAGCAAGAAGGCTGAACAGATAATGGGACAGCTTAAAAAGTGCACTTCATTTAGTCGTGGGGCAATGGTGGGAACCTCGGTTACGTGGTGTGCAGGTGGTAAGCATGACACTGAATCTCTATCAGCTGATAACCAAACAGCAGCAGCTACAGACTCTCCTTAGCAGCTAACACAGTAGTACAATAACATAAACAACCCCTGAGCCAAAGAACATGCTGCTGTGCAACGACAGACTCTCTTCAGCAGCTAAGCCAGCAGTACAAACACCCCTGAACCAGGGAATGAGAGACACTGTGTAGCTATTGTCTCTTGTTCAGCAGCTAACAGCAGCTAGCATTAGCACAAAGCGCACACCCACAGCAGTGAGCTCTAACTGCCGGCAGGCCAGGTACATGATTCAGCCATAACGACTTCAAGGTACGATGGCTGTTCAGCTTGTGTTGATATGACTGTGGCATTTATTTATTCATGTATTTATTAGACTGAAAGAGCTCTGAGAGCTCTTAACCAGACTTTAATGAGCCCTTGTCAGCCAGACAGTGATTCCTGCTTTGTACAAAGACAACAAAAGCCCAAATTGTGTTAGTTTTCATACATTTAACTGAACTGTGACCACTGTAGTGTATCGAATCGAGCCGTAAATTTATTGAGCCATTGCACCACTAGTCCATATTATTTACCATGCTTATTTTGTTTACTTGCTGCACAGAGCCATCGATATATAGGTGCCCCTATAGTGTGCTAAGTTAAAATGGAGTGGAAACCACACCCAACCTTTGGTCAGGTTTGTGTATGTGGTGTTCACACTGCTGGATAAACAGGTGATCTCCAAATTGGCCAATACTCTTTGCTTTGTCTCCCTAGTTTGCATGGAAGCATCTCTAGCTGCAGCCCAGTTACATGTGCAAAATATAATTCAAAAATCAGCCGTTACTCTTTGATGCTTTGTGAATTCAGGTCCAGACCTCAACAGTCAAAGTAAAGGCAGTTTTAGAATGAATACACTCTTATGGTCCCCTCGCTGCCTTGTTTGCTACATCCTACTGAGGTAGACAGATGCATACTGCAGTAGTCACCTTGCCAACCCCACGCTCCCTGATGAGGCAATATTTATCTACACTAAACAAGCAGCAAAAACCTTTGTAGTGCACATTAGCATTAAATAATAAGTACATGTTTCTTGGATGTTGCAGCTCTGCGATACTTAAGCTAATGTTCCAATATTTCTACACAATACATTTGTCATATTGTGCATCATCGTTCTTTTAAGACTTAACAAGGGTCTAATGAAAAATCAGTTCAATAGAGCTGAAAAGGCTGCAAAAATATACCAGATTCTTGCACACATCCATGCTTTATGACAGAGAGAATTGGTCACCTTTCTTGTTGCCTTGCTGGCTGTAACACTTGTTAATTATATCATTAGTCAATACAAATCTGAAACACTGAGTGTAGTTACAATGTTTCTCTGTTGTTGAATTTCAAGGAACAACCAATAGCAGTTTCAAGGCACTCCACCAGGGAGCCTGCTGAGAGGAAGTCCAGCTCCACCTCAATGAATTTAATGTAAATGGCATAACGTTGAGCTGAGTCTTCACCTCCCTCACCGTTCTGATTTGTGACAGCACCCCGGCAGTTCTCCTGCAGGAAACGCGTCACAGCAGAGGGTTCCCCGTGGACATGGTGTTTGCCAGAGCCCTGGAAGTGCTGGAAGAGACTCTGCTGTATGGTCCTATCCTCAGCTATGCCTAGGTAGCAGTAAGTGACTTTAGCCCCAGTCCTGTCACATGTCTCTGCACCGTCTCCATCAGCCTGACTTTGTTCCCCATTCTCTGACTCGCACTGAGGTAAGCTATGGTCTTCACCATCACCCTGTGCAGAGGTGTGAGTGGTGTCATGAGAGGATGACGACACTGCCTCGTAGCCAATAGCGTAGAGTCCATACGCCTTGGGGATTTCCCCAGGCAGGAGGTAGTGGGATGTGCCTTTGCTGCAGCCTGCTGGCCTGGACTGGGATACAGGGATCCAGTCCACCTCCATGTGCAGCTCCAAGCAGCGCGCCTCGCTGATAGTAATGTCCAGGAACTTGTAGTAAACATTCTTCCAGTTCATCTTCTGAACTTTGGTCATAATAATGCGACCCTCTGGCTTTTCTGGGTTGAAGTACTCACGAAGCCTCTTGCCCAGAGGCACCTGCGAGCTGATTTCGGCGTAATGATAACGCACGTCCTCGCGCCAGCGTGTGTTGTAGCCCACGCCAAAGATGGCTAGTTTGTTGGAGAGGTGCAGCCGTGAGAACTCAGTCCATGTTTGGAAGTGCTCCCATTTCAGCTGCACTGACTCAAGGATACGCATCACAGTCTGCATCATGTCCCTTTTTCTGCAGAGAACCCAAGATACATAATAATGACAAACTAAACAAACACTGGAGTACATTCCATTCAGAGTAATGTCAGACACATAGTGTGGGCTTTTATATAGGGATGCACAATATGGATTTTTTTCAGCCGATACTAATAACCAATAATTACCTACTTCTCATGGCTGATACCAATAAGATAACCCAATCATTTCACAGTTTTGTATTTGAAATAGAAGTTCATAACCTGTAGTTAATGCAAGACTGAGGGTAAGAAAGGCTAAGATGTAGTGAGCAAAGGTGGATGATTTAATATTCTATAGCCCTGACCTAACCATATCTAAAGACGCTTTTCCACTGCACAAAAACATCTGCCAGCATCTGGCTTTTCAATTTAATGCGAAAGGTTACAATTGGCATTCACACCTGGGTCAAATGACTTTGCAGTAGTCACGGGTATTAATAACAGACTGTATATAAAGATGGACAACATATCTCCACTTACCCCCACTCAACAGAAGTGAAGCTAAAAAATCCCGGATACGGCCGCTGCCATCTTGCTCTGGTAAAGTCGTTCCAAGAAAGAGTCTAAGCAGTAGTGATCTCCGCCGGTAGCAAGTTTGCCGCCCATACATCCATCTGACCAATTGCAAGCAGCCCCCCTGAATGAGAGCCCACGGATTGGCTCACAATCATGTTGTAAAAGCCCAGTATTATAGCATTAAACAACTAATTAAAACCAAACTTATTAAACAAAAAAACACTTGAACATACAGCAGCATGACAAAAACTACCTTAAATCCATCTTTGAGAAAAATTTATTTGATGTATACTTTGAGTTTTTAGTTTGGCCTATGTCCCATCCACTAACGTGGAGAAGGTGGGCTTTATGACCTATACTGCAGCCAGCCACCAGGGGTTGATCCAGATGTTTTTGCTTCACTTCTGGGGAACTGTTATGTCACCCATCTTTATATATACAGTCTATGGTATTTATTGGTTCTGGCTATGATTGGCATTGATGGAAATACAACAACCCAGGTCAATGCGCTAATCTTATACCCTTTACCAGCACGATGCAGTGACACACCACTATAAAATACTATCCATCTCCGCACAAGCAGTGATCAAACATCATTCCAAATTAGTCTGCACTAGTCTATAGCCTTTTATTAGCAAATTTAACAATATTTTAAAAAAAAACCTGTATACCTGTGCTAATTTTGGTGGACAGGGGGTATAACTGACATTACTATTGCTAACACAACAAAAACAGCTCTGACTCTTTAAACTCTCAATTTTTTTCTTTTTTGCCAAGTACATAAAAAAACTTGACAAACATACTTTGTCTTTTATACAGCATTTTGACCAAGATTTCAAAATAAATGCTTTGACATATTCTGTTAAATCAGTCAACGTGTTATGCACAAGTAATTAAAGTAAGTGCATCTCTCGAAACAAAGATAAAAGCTTTGTGTTTCCCACACATTGATTTATTTGTGATGGCCAGCCATTATATCAATACTGACCTTCCAAATTTAGATTTTACAGGTGTTTTTTTTTTATTATTATCTAAAATGGATAACTTTTGCTGTGCTAGCCCGAGCTAACCGCTGTCTTTCAGCGCTGAATATAACCAGGGATCAGACCCCTGGCACAATCGTGCTGTCTTCCTCTAAATCTGTGAAAAACATCCACACTAGTGACATCATGATGGCTCTCTAGTTAGCATGCTGCACTTGCTCTCCTTAAATTTCCCATTATCTGCCTATAATCTATTGGCCAGAAATATATCGTGCATCCCTAATTTTCAAGCATCATTAGGCTAATTCAGCACTTACAACACAAAGCTTTATATCAAACATATTCATTTTATAAAGATAAAGTGAAGTCAGCGTTGGTTTTAGTTCACTTACTGGGTTTGTTCTGACAGCTCTATTTGAATCTGTAGAGCTCTGTTTTTAGGCACCTGGATTTCTTCTGGAGAAAAAAAACAAACATGTTAGTCTAAACCCACTGTTTTGTGTCTGTCATTGCTATCTGTGCCCTCCTTACTAACACACACTCACCAGTCTCCATGTCTCCCTCCTGGAAGGCCGAGTCCAGCACCTGGTTGCACCAGTCCTCCTGAGAGAAGTCTTCCATGGTGCTGCCATCAGACTCCATCTCCTGATACAGCCCACTGCTGTTGATCAGGACCGGGGCACAACTCTGGGAGTCCCAGCCTCCCTGACCAAACACCTTCTCCAGCTGCTCTATAGTGTAGCTGCTCTTCCTTTTGCCAATGCCATGCTCCTTCACACGGCTGTAGCAGCGCCGCAGCGTCTGTATGTGGTGGTAGGATAAATAAAGAATTCACTCAGCTGTTGTTCTAGTAACTGTAAACTTTGTTGGGACTGTTCTACAGTATGGTGACTGCAATAAAAGTTGGGATGCACCAATCTGACTAAGACTGACCGTATTACGCAGAGGTACTGGCACAGTTCTCAACATGGAGGTGGCTTAGCTGGCGGCTAACAGTGCTAATGCCATAAACAGTGCATCGGCATCAGTGCTGACAGAGCTAATGGTGTTAGCCAGGGGGACCCAGGAGTGGGCGCTACGCTTCCATGAAAGCACCATCATGTTATCAGCAGTACCTGAGCACAATGCAAAGCAGTGATAATGATGTGTTTGACCGAATTGGCTTAACACAACAAACCAAAGAGAAACATGGATGATAATCCACCAAGGGAGATTAACTTCATTCTCTGCTCTAGGCGTCATTACTCCACCATATCTTTACATACAGTAGCAAATAGTGGTTTGCTGTTTTATTAATGCTCTAATTGTCACATACAGAACCTTTAAAGTGCAAGAGATTTTTGCAATTCATAAGTCAAATAACCTCAACATGGTAAAACACCATGAAAAATTACAAAGACTTTAATAAACCAAAAAAAAAATTGAACCTTGGAGTTCTAGTTTACCATTCAAGAGTCGAATTGCCTGAAGGAATGTGCTTCTTTTAAACTGCTCAGACTTGAAACAGAGTTGTCTGAACCTCCTCTCAAAGGACATTTCCTCAAAGAGAGAAGCTGCTGGGTGAGAATCGTCTCTAACAATATTCACAGCCCTTTGTTGATGCCGAACTTCAGAAATTGAGGAATAGGATGGTAGAGAGTGGCCAGTGGTTTTAGATGCCTTCTTTTACTCTATTTCTCATTTGATTTGATTTGTTTTAGTAGTGGTCAGACTACCAAACCAAAGTTTGATTAAGTTAGCATACTCTCTACAGCAGATGTGCAAAACCAGACCACAGCTTGCACAGCTCAGATGTCACAGGAACAAGATGCAAAACACATTTTTGAGTGAAGAAGGACTTTTCTTCAGCTGCCATGTCCTTTAGACACAAAGAGAACTGCAGTGCGGTATCGGCGCTTAGCACTTACAGTATTATCACAGCACCTTGGTGCTGTTTGTCAAATCTGAACCTGGTCACAACACCAGAGGCTGTACTATGAAGCAGGATTTGGAGTTAGCATGGCAACTTCAGGCTTTACTCTGGGTTTTCAGTAATCAGGACACTGGTTCTCTTTTTATCGGGATAAATCAGCGTGGTAACTTGTGCTGAACAGCTAATCTGCTCCTGAGCAGGTTATGTTCGAGGTATCGGATCACAGCCTGTCACTGCCCGACCACTGACTGATCAGATCACTGAAGAAAAAAGTATCCATGGGCAAAAGTCCACTCAGGTAAAGAGAAGCCTATAAAGTGGTACAGGTCAGTAGAATCATTTATTTGTGTGATGAGAAGTGGAAAAATAAGATCTAATATTTTATTAGAAAAATAATAAACACACTGTAAATTAGCTCCTATTATTATAAATGCAATATTTTGGTCAGATAGCCCTCATCAGTCATTAACTACTTTTACATCCTTTACTTCAGTAGCAGAAACAGTCTGGCATTTCTTTAAAGGATTTTATGTGACACATTCTGAGTAGTTTCATCATCATCCAACTAAAGAGCACTAAATACTAAATGTTTATGTCACATATAGCCTAGTGATACATTCATGTAATCTAAGTTTTGGGCTGCCAGTGAATTTTTGGATAGTATTTTAAATGTTTCTACAATTTCCGCTATAAGATTACAGAGTATTTACCAGACCTCCTCACGCACCCTCCGTTCAGCAACCACAAACACCCTCCAAGCCCCCAGAACCAAGCTCCGCACCATGGGTGACCAGGCCTTTTCCTCTGCTGCTCCGAGGCTGTGGAACGCCCTCCCTGACCACCTCAGGGCCCCACAGACTACTGATGTTTTTAAACGAGACCTAAAAACCTATCTTTTCACAAAAGCATTCTACTAAATGTCTTTTATAGGTTCTCCTTTTAACTATTTATCGTTTCTGATCATTTTTAATAATTCTTTTAAATTGTATTAATTCTGTTTCAATTGCTTTTTTTGTTTTTTGGTTTGTTTGTTTTGTTTTTTATTTGTTCTGTAGCACTTTGAGATTGCTAAAATGTAACGTGCAATACAAATAAAATTTATTATTATTATTATTATTAGTATTGTTTACGTCCCACGTCAGCGACATTTTACTGTCTCACAGTACCAGACACTTTCGGCCCTTTCGTTTCTTCTCATATGACATGAAGCGGCCTTCTTCATTCATGGTTCTGATAATTAACACCTCGCCTCTTCCACATGAACATGCTCTTGATCGATAAGAAAACCCAGAGCTGACTGAACTAGTTGATAACCAGCTTTGTAGTACCGTACTTATGTGTGTTAGAGTTGAACATGATGGTGTGTCCACTAACAATTCTGAAGGTATGTTTTACAGCTACAGCCTCGTGTTAACATACATTTGGAGGAAAAAGAAAAAAATGGCATCAGCATCAGCAGTTAAGCTTTGCCATTGCAGCTGGTGCAGTTTTTCACTGTAGAATGAAACACTGAGTCTGTGGTGCTGAGTATATCATGTAGGGATGCACAATATTGGATTTTCTGTCAACATCCAACATGCTGAAATATAACAATTTGGCCTATAACGGTTACGGATATTGATATATCCACTTTTTTCCCCCACCTAATTTTAGTGATCATCAAATGTCTTCTGTAGTGGAATTAACATCATATTATGCATGCATGCTCCCACCACCAGCAAATGGAAACATGAAATACAATACTTTTGACTGAATATAATATTCATTCATTGTGCAAAATAAGAAAAAAACATGCTGGCCGATACTAATGATGTACCGATATTATCAGCATGTTGGCCAATTCATTTTAAAGCAATTACTGGCTGATACCGATGACGTGTTGATATTACCGTGCATCCCTAATTTTATGAGACAGAAACCCAATCTCCTGCGAGACATAATGATTATTTTGTGATTCCTCATTTTTAGCAACCTGTTGACATTCAATTCAATTCATTTTGACAAACATGTCATTTAAAAAACAGACTTACTGTTGCTGAAAAGGTTGCAAATGCATGGAAAGCTCACATCAAAATAGAGTACTGATACAACCTATGGCTGTACTTTCTGATGATGGATATACAAAATATTTGTATCATCTACTTAATTTGTCTGCATGCAGGGAGGTGAATGAATAAATGAATGAATGAATGAATGAAATACAATCTTTACTTAAATGAACATTTCACCCTAACAGAACCTGGGTCTTGGAGGGAGAGATGTGGTTCCAAATAAAACAGAATGTTACCAAAGATACTGGTGATCATCAAATAAAAAAAAATAGCCTATTATCCACTGAGGTAACACATCAATTGCAATATTCCACCACAATTTAGTATATTATGGTCTGAAAACACATGAAATATAATGTCAGTGTATCTGAGTCTTCAACAGGGCTATTAGCTAATGTTGTCAGTGTGTTTAATGTCAGGTCAACAACCTGTGACTGCACTGATTTCTGTCAGCATCTCCCGGCCCTACGTTTCTATAACCTTCATTTGAATCCCCATCAACTACATGACAGCACCTGCTAGCACCTGGAGCTCAAAAACACAGGTGAAGGTTCTGATGATGGAGGGTGGACATGTACAGCCATTAGTGTGCCCTCATAACCTTATTTACCTTCATCCTCTCCCTGCACTGGGATGGAGTCCTTTCATATCCCAGCTCCGACAGGGCTCTGGACACCCGCTCGTACATGGCAGGACCGGGGGCCTTACCGGAGAACACGGTGCCTGCGACCTCCAGCTGCTGCATCCTCGCCTCCGTCAGCCTCTCATTGCCCCAGACCGCAATGAGGGCGTTCGTCTCGGACGGGGTCCACGACATCCCTCGGCAAGCCGTGAAGCTGTTGGAGGAGGATGAGGCCGCCGTCCGGCCCGCGGTCCCTGAGCCCACGTTCAAAGGCGAGAAGCGGTTCGGTGTCGAGGGATTGGAGTGGTATTGATTACTGTCACTCAAATCCTCCGACTCAGGGGATGGCACCTCGGTTTTCGGTATTTTTAACGGCGTCGATATCTCTGGAGAATGCTCCGCGGTACTGGACGCCGCCATGTTGCCTCTGTTGCTAAGGGGAGGGGGAGGAAGGGGTTGACGTTCCGGGGCTTTACGCTGCAAGGCATGGAGAAAAATACGGCGTGGATCCAGGGAGAGACGCAACGGAGCATCCTGTCAGAGTTTGACTCTCAGGTAAACAAATAAACAACAAACAAACAAACACACAAACGTCTCTCGACCTAGTAATATGTGCGCCCTAACAGTGAGACAGAGACGGAGGCGTGCAGTGGGACCGTCTCAGAGAATGTCCCCTCCGCCTGTTTTTGAAAAATAAAATAAATCCTAATTAAATATAGCCTAGGCTACTGTAACCCTGCTACAGATATAAGCCCATAGCATATAATAGTCACTGCTTTTATATGTGAACCAAGTGATGGCACTGCATCTAGGGTGTGCATTTAATCATGTAGTTTTGACTGTCTGAGATCATTCCATGCAGACACAGGAGGTGGGTTTACCTCTTTCACAGATTGTTATCTTACAATGTCCCTTTTTCAGGGGAAGCATGTTAAACTGTCGTTGTGGGAAAATCACAGGTGTTAACTAGTTTTGAAAAGTAACTAAGTACATTTACCCACTGTACTGTATGAGTAGATGCAAAACATAAAATTTGATCCAGTGCTTTACTATAAATTAACCTGTGGTGTATGAAGTACCCTACCTTAAATATGCCACACATTAATTATAGGTAACTTGTTAATATCTGGCAATACAATGTATTATTCAAAGGATTACACTCTGAAAGGACGTGTTTTTCTTACTTTTTATGTAACCTACATTTTTTTGATAGTGTAAAGTCAGTTAATCTGGGAAATTAGAGTAAATGAGACAAATTAGGTTTAACATCTTGGTATCTTTAAATATGAGCAGCCTGTCACCAAACATATTTTTGCATTGTTAATATCAAACAATCACTTTTATTTGTTTTGGGATGATTAGGATGGACAGAACAAAGAATGAAAAGATCACTTGCAAGGTAAGCCACATGACATCTTAATTTTCACCTTTTGAATACTGCAGCTGAAACAATAAGAGTATAACAACAAAAAATAGTTGTAGGACGTTGTGCTTTATTAAATCTTTGACTTACAATCAAAATATTTTCACAATGCACTGAAGTGTTTATTGGAAAGTGTTTTGAGTGAGTAGTTAGCGCATTCAGGTGAAGTGTGACAACAAGTCAAATCAGCATGTCTTTGGGCTACCAGGTACCATAAAATCATGAGTTATACTATTGTATGCTGCCCTGAAATATCAAAGACATTTTTAGTCTTTATGTCGTTCCAAAAATATTGAAGATGATGTGGTCAGTCCATGTGAGCCACAACAGAAAAGCATGGCAGAAAAGTTGGACAATATTTTTTATCAAATAGCCGCAGGTTACATAAATGTTTTAATTCAATAACGAGTAATCTGATATATGGATCTAATCATTTAAAAACACACCTGGGCCCAAACAGCTATAGAAGCGTTATGATGTTTAGCTATGAAAAATTGAATTATGTTGCTGTTTTTACACATTTTACCCCAAAATAAGTTACAAAGGGCCACCAAAGCACTTAAATGCTAGGATGTAATTCATTGACAGTTTGTCTGTTATTGACTTTTAAAACATTAGGCACAATGATTTTGTAAGAGTGATGTTAATATTTGGTGACACTAAAGTCTATGAGTACATTTTATTGAATATTTCTCTTTGCAGTGTTACACTTTGTACACAGCAGTACCTGACTGTACCAGCCTCTTTTCCTCCCTGGTTATAAGTTGATATGGAAAGGAATACACCTAAGATCTACTTGCGGTCAGAAACTCGATTTAATATACATGGCGAGACATGTCATGCTTGACTCACAGTCTGCTCTCTGCAGAGCCCAGAGGATCTGCCCCCACGGAGTCGCAGAGCGCTGTTTTTTCAGAGTTTATTAATATTAAATGTGTTGAGTGTCCACATTGCACCAAATTCAACAAGGTTCATCCTTGTGTCCCCACCAATACGCCCACCAAGTGTCAAGTACACTGGATGAACGGTTCCAAAGATATGCAAAGGACACTCAGAAAGACAAACAGAGATTCCTTGCTTTATAGTTAGATAACATTTTAAATGGTATTACTACTTCTAGTTTAGGATCTGAACACTAGTAACAATGACAATGGCTCTGCTTATTAAAATGTCCTTGTAAGCCACAACAGTCACTCTGTACACTCTATAGTACGAGCAGTAGCTTAAATTGATCAGACACTTATGGATCATTGTTACTTTACATCATCTCTTACTGATGTAGGTAACAAAACTATAATTTTAGCATCTATGAAATAAGAAGAATGGCATTGTGGGATCTAAGTTTAACATGTTACTATTCTAACGTTTGTTTTATTTGTTTTGAAAGATGTCAAATTACAAAAAAAAGGTCACTAGAGTAGAATCTGTATCACTCAGTGATGTGTTGTCCAACAAGTCACTGTCATCACCGGGCAGTGAATGAGACCTTTTATTGGATTTTGAGTGTATAATTGGTCATTTGATGGCCCGATTGATGGATTGTGCCATTGTTTACTTCATCTTTTCATGACAATGTTTGATTGGCTTCCCTCAGGGATTACTAGTCGTTCCAGCCTGCTCTGCCATCTGTCTGCTGTTTGGCTGTGTCTGTGTATGAGTGGTCAATGAGGTCCTGACCTGGCCAAAGGGACAGTAGGATCCTTTCTGGGTGAGGTAGCTGTCCAATATAAGTCAAAGACAGGAAACAGTGGACAGTCTAACCTTTACATGTCAAAACTGCAGCTGTCAATGAGTTGTCATGTCTGCTGTCAGGAAGAGAGTTGGGATTGAAATCAAATGATAATTCAGATGATATTCAATATTTTTCTTATTGCCAATGTCAAAGTCCCCTGAAAGACCAAAACCAACAATGAATGTATCTACTAACTAGTGTGTGTGTGTGTGTGTGTGTGTGTGTGTGTGTATCCAGAGCCTCATATATCCTATACCTCTGTGCCAAAAAGCTCCATTGTCATTGAGCCACACTGCTGCACTTCATGACATGCTGTCTCATTACCAAGAACACACACACTGTAGTTGTAGGTAAAAACTACAGTGTTCAGCTGTTTTATTTTAATTATCTATCTTTTATTATACACAGGACATGGAAAAGTAGTCTGAGTGTTATTGATTGAGATTGAAATATCTCAACAAGTTTGCGTTGAATTGTATGAGATTTCTGCTGATTAAGTCATCCTTTGTCTTTACCTTTAATGCCACCATGAGATTGACATTTTTGGTTTGTCTTGAAATACTACAACTATTGTACTGGGTAGACTGTGGTGACATTATGCACAGATATTCATGGTGCCCAGAAGATACATTTTCCAACTTTGGTGATCACTCAGCGTTTCCTGAAGCAGCAGGTAAAAGTTGTCATTTGATTAAATATCTTGATATCTACCACATGGATTGGCACAAAATTTGGTATGGTTACTCATTGTTCCCAGAGGATGAATCTTATAGACTAAAGTGATTCTTTCTCGTGCCATTATGAGGTTGATATTTTTGGCTCAGAGTAGAATATCTCAATGGCTAACTGAGCATGCTGACATAAAAGATGTTAAAAATGGCAAACATTAGCCTACTTTCTAAATGTCAGCAGGCTGGTTCTGTCATTACGAGCAGGTTGCATGCTAATGTTAGCATTAAGCTCAAAGTACTAGCTGTGTGATGAGAGCCTTACAGAGCTGCTGGTGTGGCTGTAAAATGAAAATCTGCAATTTATTCGTGAAAGACTTAAAATGAAAAAGACTAACACATTGTTTTTGGTTTGTTTGTTTTTCTTTACAATGATAACACGGCAGTATAACACTGCCATGAAGTAGCCAATATTAGCCTTTTAAACACAATGACAATGTAGGGCAAGACATTTTTAGAAATTTGCAAAAAAAAAAAAAAAAAATACTTTGCAGGAAGCATAGATGGGGTTAGATGCAACAATAAGATTTTGGTATTGGAAGTGCTCTGATTTCCATTTGTAGTCTGTTTAGTATTGACCAATCCGTTTGAAAGGCAGCTAAACAGTCAGTGTGGAGAGGCAGAATGCACTGGCTGAAATGCAATGTCAAACCCAACAACTATTGTCTGACGCCAAGTTAGCTTTATATAAGCTTTCTGAAAATGTAACTGCATTCATATGCAAATATCTGTTTATAATGATTAGGGAAAATGACCGGCGCATGGAAGATAAAGTCTTGGCTTGGATATCCCCTGGCTATGCTGTATCAGCCGAAATATTGGCGCTCGCCCCCAGAGGCTTTATCGTCATCACACCAAAAGCTGATAAGTCCCAAGAATGCTCTCTATATTCTGCACATAGTTAGTTTGTAGTCATTAGGGTTGCAACGGTATGAGATTTTCATGGTACGATAACTGTCTCAGAAAATATTGCCGTTTAATGGTATCATGAAAGTACAGAATTTATATTATTATCAGCCAGAATAACCCTTAAAGGAATGAAAATAGTGGGTTATTTTTGGTTGAACAATTGTTATATTACTATAATTGAAATTTGAAACTGTTTTGTTAATCGAATTACATGTAAAAAGTCTCCCTTTTGAAAATAACTGAAATAAAGGGAAAATTCTCTGTTCAGTTGCATTTTTTTTAATATCCTAGGTAAGCAAATGTACACAGTATGATAACTGTCACCTTTTATATTACAGTAAACCTTAAAACCGGTATATCACTGCAACCCGAATAGTCATTGCAGTGAAATCCCATTAAAGATTAATAATAAAGGTTTAATCTGAGAGTGAATGCAGCCCTCCATTACATCATAAAACTGTGTGCACACCACTAATCAGCAAGTGACTCTACAAATCAAATGAAAGTTTGGATAATAACTTTAATAATTAGCAATGTAGATCAATTCAAGTGTGAGCTGCTGAAAACTTGTCTGATCACTTATGTGGTTTTCCTTAGCACTCCCCTGTCAATTTTGTGTTTCATGAAAGTCATGAA